ATGTGCCATTGCCTCATCCAGATCAATGCCCTTGCACAGCTCCTTCCCTTTGAATGCCTGTTGTAATAGTTGTTGCACCATTGGAATTCTAGAAGAGCCACCAGCAAGAAGAACATCATCGACGTTACTTGGGTCCATGTTAGCATCCCTCAAACACTTCTCCACTGACTCCATACACTTGATGAATAAATCCATATTAATTTGTTCAAACATGTCACGGGTAAATGTTATGTTGAAATCCTTATCCTCACACAAATGATCAATTTCAATGTCAAAGTCAGACTCAAATGCGAGTCTCCTTTTTGCTTTCTCACATTGATTCTTTAATCTCCTAAGCGCTCTGAAGTCTTTGCTCACGTCCAATTTACTCTTAGTTTTGAATTCCTCAACGCAATAATTGACCATTCTGTTATCGAAGTCTTCGCCGCCAAGGTGACCATCACCACCCGTTGCCATGACTTGAAATGTCCCTGAAGTATTCATGGTAACCAAGGAGACACCTAAACTGCCACCGCCCAAATCAAATATCATCACATTTCTGCTGCTACTCCAACCGGTCTTCTTGTGAAGGCCATAAGCAAGGGCAGCAGCACTTGGTTCGTCAATAACACACTTTACATCTAGGCCAGCAACCACTCCAGCCTCCTTTATAGCCTGACGCTGGGAATCGTTGAAGTAAGCAGGGACAGTGATGACTGCATTTTTCACAGGTGAGCCTAGATGAGTCTCAGCAATCTTACGCATCTTTTTCAGAATCATGGATGCGATTTCTTCAGGAGTAATTTGTTTCTCTTCGCCACCATTGCGGGTAACCACAATCATTGGCCTGTCATCCGAACCTTGAGTGACCTTGAATGGCCAAAGCTTCATATCACTTTGAACAGAATCTTCACTAAATCTTCTTCCAATTAATCGTTTTGTATCTGCAAATTGATCCATGCAAAGTTGGATTGGAAATTGTTATTAATAAGGGAAACTAATAAAATGGCCCAATTTTTTTTAATAAAAAAACACCTAATGAATTTTTATTAATAATAAAGAAAAAAAAAATGGCCGTGGCATGTTTGTAAATAAGTTAAATTTTGGTGGCACCAACTGTTTTTACATTGTTATTTCAATTGTTGCTTAAAAGGTCAACTGTTTCTACATTATTAGATTATTGTTTCTTAGAGAATTCTTAAGCTTAAGATTAAGAAACAATTGACCTAATTATGTAGAAACAGTTGGTGCCACAAAAGTTTTAACTCATTTACGAAAATATGGCCAACTATTATTAGGTTAAGTCCAACATTATCTTTTCTCCACTTTTATTTCTTTAATACGCATTTTACATTTTTTCTAAAACTATTACTAAAAATTAAAATCTTCTAAGTTCATGCATCTTCAAATTCCAATAAATCTACTTAATACTTTTTAACCAAAAAACTAATATACTAACATCAATTCATCTGTAGAACATACGATCTTAACTCAAGTAACAAATATGTGAATGTATAACGCCTATACATGATATATAAAACCTAACTAAAAGGAACAAAAACATAATATACCTACAAGCAATATACATTATACAGGTGAATTATAAAAAATAAAATAAAATAATCTGTTGTATAAAAATACGATTAACTTGTGATATAGCCTGATTATAAAAATTAAGAATAAAATCCATAAATGGGGTTTAGAGCATGAACAAGAAGAACAAGAAATAACAAAAAATAAATAAAGAAATTAGAAGAAATAATTAAAGAGATAATTAGGAATAAATGTATTTTGTACAGTAAATCTAATTATTAATGAGATAATTATTGATAATTAAGTGCTTTTCTTTAAATTTTTGTTAAGCCTTTTCATTAAAACCTAAATAATAATAACAACAGAAACATCATCATCATGATCAACAAATAAATTATAATATTTATAATAATAATAATAATAATAATTAATATAATACTAATCTAAATTACCTATATTAATAGAACTCTTATTGTTAACCAAAAAAGGTTAAAAAGACTATTTAATCTTCTATCACAAAATAAAATTTTACTGTTTTTTATTAAAACATCACCAGTGATATCTAGTATTAAAAAAAAACAAAATAAAACAACAATAAAACAAAAACTTCTCAATCCCACTCCAACCCACGTCCTTTCACTCCCTCTCTCCTTCCCATTTTAAAAACAAAAATAAAGTGTTCATAAACACAAAAGTGTGGAGGCCTATACTATCTAGTAATAATAAGAGTAACACACTTGAATTTATTTTCAAAGAAAAATCAATATATGTAATTGGTTGTTACTTTATTGTTCTCTTCAACCGTGTGTGTCTATGTTTTGTTTACAAATAGATGTCATAATGATTTCTAGTATTTAATTATTTACAATAAAGATAATGTCAATTAAGGATATTAAAATTTTAAATTAAATTTACAAACTAAATAATGTATCACCAATAAGAAATAAGTATGTTAATCAATACTTAAGTAATAATTCAATCATTAATAACCATAACATTTGATTTACAAATTTTAATTTATAAATTTGGTCTTCCTAACATTACCCTTACAATAATGATGGTTTTGATCATGAAAATATAATGTGATGTGGGTTTTACAAAGTATTTCCATAAGGGAACTATTATTAACACTGCAAAAATTTCATTCTACACTCCTCACAAGTGTATTTTTCTTTCTAATTATAGAAAGTTTAGAATGTAGATTTTTGGAGTGCTAATAACAATTATCTTCTCTAAAGGTATTTTGAGTGATCCCTCCAGACAGCAAATTAACTAGTTAATAAAACCAAACAAATATCGATCAGTCAAGAGAACTAAAAAAGAAACTAACAGAACATAATTTTACGATAGGATAGGACAAGCTGATCATTCAAATCCTACATACCAAAGATCGAGTTGGCGGTGTTTCTCACAACTTGGTTAAATGCCGCATCGCCTATCATCGCCTCCTCAGTGTTTGTGAATGCAACATATGATGCAGTTTTCCTGTTACCATAATCATTCAGAATGGTTTCTACATGATCTTTCTGCCACACGGCCACGCAGGAATACGTTGTTCCCAGATCGATACCGACCGCATGCTCTTCTTCTCCGCCACCCTTATCATGAGAGAGAGAAGGTTGATGCAAATTGGGAGAGACAACAACACTGCCAGAAACAGTATTTGGAGGCGGCTTCGTCGCTTGATTACTGGCAGTATTTGTATATCTCCGCTGTTCATTCAGCAGATATATTTCCTCTTCCTGTTTCAACAACAAGTGTTTCACCTCTTGGAAACTACGTGGATTAGAGTTTTCTAACCTTGTACGGTGCTCCTTTGGCAGTCCCGTCAGGATGTGTAGATAAAATAAGTCCCCATCTTCCACACGAGCACCGGCATCTGCAAGCAATTGCGCCAGATGGAAGATCTTTTGCAGATAGTCATTCATCGACATGGCTGTGTCTTTCTTTACATTTACTAGTTCACTTTTGAGATTATAGATGTAAGCAAGAGGGAGACTCTCGAAGTGTTTCTTGATGTTTCTCCACACCGTTTGTGAAGAGTCGGCGCCGGCCATGACACGGTGGTGGAGATCTATGGACAGAGTGTTTCTAAGCCACTCAAGAACCTTTTGATCTCTGTTACTCCAATTAAAAAACTCAGCAGAATGAAGTTGCTGATCAGGACGAGTGTCTGTTCCATCAATGATTCCAAGAAGATTATGGTAACGAAAATATGAAAGAGAACTAGATTTCCACTGTTGATAGCCATATATATTATCACTCGTGAGTTTGATTGGAACCAGTACTGCTGGTCCCATGTTCTCTCCGGCCATGGAAGTACCACCGCGAGATTAATTGGCTAGGAGATCCAAGCTGGAGAGGTGAAGTACCATGGCGAGTTGATCATCTTAATTAGAAATATATGTGGTGGTTTATCACCAAGTCAATGAATCTTCTATATATAAAGCAGCAAGCCCAGTTTTGGGTCCCGGGCTTCAACAAAAATAGTGAGACAGAAACGCCCATCTAACAAAAAAAAATAGTTTAGCAGTCCAAAATAAGGAGTTTTAACGAAACATTTTCGGTACTGTTCATTTTTAACAAAAAATTACATTTTTACTTTTTTCTGGTACTATTCACTACACCTTTATTTATAATTTTCATTAAAACTAGAGTTTTTTTTGAACTTTTCATTAGTTTTCCTTCCAAAACATTCACAAAAAAACGCAAGAGTAATTTTGTTACGAAAAAAGATTTTTTTTTGTCATAAATTTTTTTTTTATAATTAATATCTTAGTATTATGTGGAATATCTACAGATTTTTTCTAGCATGGTTTAATGTTATTCGTTTAGTCTAAATATTGGATTTTCTTTTTCATGAGTAGAGTTGTCTATCTGCACTTGGAATATTGATTACATGGAATCAAAACCAGCCAAAAAAAAAAATGCATAAAAAATGCAGGGACAGTTTTGTCAAATGCATGCATGCACCCTTATCTTTTTCTTTCTTACCTAGGAAGGTACCAACGCCTCACACACACACACACTTGAGAAAGTGGGAAGAGAGAAAAGAAAAAAAATAAAATAAAAGGATGAGTGAAAGTTGTTGGTGTCTAGGTGAAAGGGAAAGAAAAATATAATAACAAATAAGGAAAATTATGAAGATTGTGTGATGGTGTTAGAAGAAAATGAAAGGAAAATCCAATAAAAGCCATGCATTGTATATATAATAAATACGTGTAATGATGGCAAGAAAGTACGATAATTTAATTTTCAAAATATTTTCTTTTAATTTTCTTATTTTTAGGAATTAATATTTTTTTTAAATAAATTATCCTTAGAGTAAATTTTTAATACTTAATTTTATACTGAAACAATAATTTTTAAATATTTTAATGAGAAACAAAAGTTAATGCATGACGTCATTGGTATTTTTTATCTGAAATGTATGTCACAAAAATACCTTTTATAATGGTAAGTCTTTTTCACAGTTCTATATCCTTCAATTGGTTCTTCTCTCTGCAATTCGCTCACGCGTCGTCGCTTTCACATACAAAACCCATTGCCTCATTCTCCACACCATCACTCCTGGCGATGAATGACCAGCCTCCTTCCTCATACGACTCCATCTACGTCCCTCCCACCACCTCCTCTGCTCTGTCATCACTATCCCCAATTATACCTCCCCTGCAATCGGCTCCAAGTTCCGCGAAACCAGACTGCTTCTGCCGCTGCTATTCTCAATCGGAGGAGCAGCACAAGTGGTGTTCTGGCGTACAACTAGACTCAACAGCAGCAGGCGCAGTTGCAAAAGCTCAAGCTTCAGCAGCCTTCTGCTTAAGACGACGTCGTTTCTGAAGAAGGCTCTGATCGTGAAGCTGAGTTGTAGTCGCATTCGTTGAGATTTGTATATGTGAATTGTGTGCTCGTGGAGTTGTTAATTGGGAAATCCTTGTGTTTACTAAGTGTGAATTGGTAATTGGGTTTCAATTAAGGTATATATTTTGAACAACACATGATATATATATATACACACACACACACACAATTATTTTCCAATTACGTTTTTTATAAACTATATGTCTTTAATTTGTTTTATTGATATCATCACGTTTATGGGTTTGTTTAGATGTAAATAAATGGAGTGGTACTAGAAGAGAAGCAGATGATGAACGGGTTCAATAATCTTGTTCCAAGACAATTTATAAATATGGGAAGGGCTGAGAAAAATGAGCTTTCACAGTGTTCTCATGAAGGCTGCAAATCTCAAGATTGTTCCGGGTCGCCCTTGCAAAACGACATGGTCGAGTCCGTGGAGTGCTGCAAGAGTACTAATAATCATGTTCACTAGGATATTAATGGAAGAAGTAACACTGCTGGGGGAGAAGATTGCCCTGACCAAGAATTTAATAGGTAGATTTCTAAGAAGGTTCCCAAGTTGATAAGCACTAGAGAAGTGGATCAACCCTCATCTGAAACCATGTCCATGATTAAAAAAAGCTCGTGTTTCAGTTTGAGCATGATCTGAAGCTTTCATGGTATGAATCTAGCTACCTTGACATCTGCTTGACTAATATATAGTGTGTATCTACATATAAAATGTTACTTCACTCGGGAAATGTTTTCTCTAGGCTATCTAATTTGTCAATTGTGTACTTATTTCATAGGTCAAGTTGATATATAACAACATTAATCTGTATTTCAACTTGAATTTTAGTAGCGTGATCATGAATTTCTTTTTCAATTGTGTTGTATTGATGACATAATGTATCTAGTTTGCAATGCTTTGAAACTGAAAACAAAAACCATTTGAAACCAAACCGAACCGCAATCAAATAGTTTGGTTCCATATTGGTTCAAGCTTCAAAACCACACCAAATCAAACCACAAAAAATTTGATTTTGATTTTGATTTCAGTTTCACCCTAAACCGTACCGAACCAAATCATGTCCTCCCCTATACTCAAGGACATTTCAAGCACGCATTTACCAATAAGAAAATCACTTTAGCCTGTCAAGACTTAAGGTGGGGAGTTTTCCAACCACATTTTCCGTCTCGTTATGGAAATAGTATATGATGGAGTGTTTATGGTAAATAAGGTGCAAGACCCCAAAGATCACTATGCACCACTTTAAAGGGAATTACAGATTTATTGACACTGGATGAAAAAGGCAGTTTGCAAAACTTGCCCTCTAAACAACTTTGACACATTACAAGACTAGAGTCTTTTGGAAATGCAACATTAGATTTATGCAGCATTAGGGACACAACAGAATTAGATGGATGTCCTAATCTATTGTACCATGTAGTAGAGTTAACAAGCTGACCAATGAGAGCTTTACTGGAGACAGTACTTTGAGAGGTTGCAGGACACGCATTGGCTAAGGCAGAAATTGGGTAGAGTCCATTACTGCACAGTCTTTTATAAAGAATCCTCCATGTGACCTTGTCCTGGATCCAAAAGCAGAAGGAATCAAAGATAAGCCAATCGTTATTGTCCAAACATATCTTATGTACTGATAGAAGATTCTGTGTTAATTTAGGAACATATAACACAGAGTTCAGTTTGATAGGATATATAGAAGGTTTGAGAATAGTGCTACCAATGTGAGATACATGCAAACCTTCACCATTTGCAATTTGAATTACTTCAATAGTATGATAGGTTGATGCCAGAGATAAGTTGGAGAGATCAGCAGTCATATGATTCGTTGCTCCTGAATTAGTGATCCACACTTGTGAATTAGTTGTAGAAGCAGCTGAAGGGTTTCGTGGTGTTACCATAGTATGGTAGGCTTGCATTGGAACTGGAGCTTGAAATTGTTGTCCAGGAAACCTATGATTGAACCCTTGGTTGAGAAAATGAAGCCACCTAAGAGTATTGATACCCTTGTTGTGGATATAAAGTCATCCGGGAGCAAGAAGAATTGACTCTAGCTCCAATATAGTTGGGACCATTCCCATTATAAAAACAGAACCATGTATTGTGATTAAATCTCCCACAAATTTGACATTTTGGCTTCTCAAGTAGAGCAGAAATATTAGACTGTTGTGTATTTGGAAATTGACCAAGTATACCAGGACTTGGAGTTTGAATGACATGTGTTTGAGTAGGCATGTATTGTCGCGATGAAAATTTTCTTGGTTGTTGATTAAACATGCCCTTGCCCTTGTTCTTACTGGCATTGAAATGCTTGAAACCACCAGATACAAAACTGAATTGATTAAGCCCTCTCTAAGTTGAATTATTAGCAATCATGGTTGACATAAACGGTGCATTGATAGTTGACTCTATAATTGCTTCTTCAGCAAGTAACTGTGTTCGAAATTCTTTCAGAAATATGTCACTTTCATGCCCCCGGATCACATTCCTAAAGGTGTTGTATTCTGTTGGCAAACCATTTAATGCAAGAATAACAATATCTTCATCAAGAAAGTAAACCCCAACAACAGAAAGATAGTCTCTAACTTCCTTTATCTTCTGTAAGTACTGAGTAATAGAATCATAGCCCTTTTTAATTGTTTGCAAATTTGATTTCATCTAAAAGATGCTAGTCTTCGAGACAGTTGAAAAATGTTCTTGTAATCTTATCCAGAGATCCCTCGAACTGGTACTCCCAATGGCACAAGACATATCTATATGACTCAAAGATGCAGTGAGTAATTGCATTAAGGCTTTATCATGCATCATCCAAACCAAATACTCATCACTATCAAAGCAAGAAGAGGAATTTGACGAATTAACACCAGATTCTCCAGAATGAGAGGTGAATCGAGCAGGACATGGATAATAGTCATCAACAAACCCTAGAATTCCATTACTTTCAAGTAGTAATTTCATTTGGAAATGCCAATTTAGATAGTTCAAATCATCTAGATTAACATTCATAGATGTAGAAATCGATGAAACTAATGCAGTTATCGGTGATTAAAGAAGCTGTAATTGAGAGGCAGTTACCATTGTTGTCGAATTACGAGTTGTAAAACTCCTAAATGTTGCAGAAATATCTCTGGGAGAAAACAACAGACACCTAGAGGGTACGATTTGGAGAAGACGAAGTCACAACCAAAATCACAATTGCAGAACCTTAAGGAGCAAGAAAACCCTAAATTGCAGAACAAACGAAGTGAATTCAATCAAGAAACACCAGCAAGAAGCAAGAAGATCGAAGAAGATGAAGAATCAAAGCTGCGGAAGACTTGGATCAAAGGTCAAGCTTAAGCTTTCATGGCGATTGATACCATGTTAACCTACAGAGATAGAGCAAAAGAAAGATAAATAGAGAGAGAGGAATTCAAGAGTTTCTAGAGAGAGAAGGAGAAATTTTGTATGTTTATTTCTTAGCTTTTAAGCAAGAACATATCTCAGTATTTATACACATCTCAACCTCTTTAACAAACTAACAACCTAACTGACTTTCTAATTTTTATACAAGTGGCAATATCTTAGCCATACAATATATCTGTAACAATGATGAGTGGGCGGATGAGGAAGAAGAGGGGGGGAGGGAATTGGCCCAATTTGAGAGCCTCCTCCCAATCAATCCATCTCTTGGTTCAACCTTTTCACAATGTTGTACAAAAGGATAACGATTTTGGAAGTAAAGTGACTGTTATTCGGCTCGCGTGAGTTAATGAACAATGTACTTCATTACTATATATGACTCGCGTGAGTTGACGAGCAATATGCTTCGTTACTATAAAGGTGATACCCGAGATGAACTTCCTGGACTAGTTGATTTTACTGTGGAGAGGGCAAAGATGAATGTGTGAGAACTTTATCCAATATCCAACCAATTTATTAACATTGAAAGTTGAGGATGTGGATAAGAATTTTATTTGAAATTTGCATAACCAATTGCATCTCGACACATGTCACTCAAAATCTGAAGGAAACTCATTTATTAACATTGAAAACTGAAGATAAGAACTGCCACGTGGACATGAATTTTATCTGAAATTTGCATAACAAATTACATCTCGACATGTGTCAGCCAAGATCTTATCCGAAAGATTATTAAAACTACCTAGAGATAAGAAATCTGAAAAACTTAGTCATTTATTAACATTGAAAGCTAAAGATAGAAGTGTCACACGAACAAGAATTTTACCTGAAATTTGCATAACCAATTACATCTCGACACGTGTCACTCAAAATCTTATCCGAAAAATTATTAAGATTACATAGAGACAATAAATTTGAAGACTTACTTATTTATTAACATTGAAAGCTGAAGATAAGAACTATCATGTGGACTTGAATTTTATCATTTGCGTAACCATTACATCTCGACATGTGTCAATCAAAATCATATCAGAAAAATTATTAAGATTACATAGATATAAGAAATCTGGAGAGTTACTCATTTATTAATATTGAAAACTGAAGATAAAAGAAGAATTGTCACGTGGAAATGAATTTTATTTGAAATTTGCATAATTAATTACATCTCGACATGTGTCACTAAAAACCTTATCCGAAAAATTATTAAGATAGAAATATGAAATCTGGAAACTCATTCATTTAGCTACACATGTCACTTGAAAATCCTATTTCAAAAATTGTTAAGATCATGTAAAGATAAGAAATCTAAAGAATTATTCATTTAGCAACAAGTGTCATTAAAAAAATCATGTCCAGACAACTATAATATGGTAGTTTAATTGAATAAGCTAATAAATTTAAAAGTAATAAATTATTGAGATGCTATGAATATAGTCTGCAATTGTGCATCTAAAAGTAATATAGTCTGTAAGAAACGATTGTACTTGGGGGTTTTCGCTTCAATATAATTTCTTCTTGTTTCAAAAAAACAAAAAAAAAATTGTGGACGAGATATGTTTAGCTTTTTCGCTTAGAGATGATATATGAATATAGTTTGAAACTATTTATATAAAAATAATATTTTGGAAAGCTATAATTGTAACATCATACATCGCCCAGGGGAGTGGATCATGTAAACTTTATATCTATATTCACATTTCTATCTAGCACGAGGCCTTTTGGGAGATCACTAGCTTCGGGTTCCATCGGAACTCCGAAGTTAAGCGAGTTCACGCGAGAGCTATCCTAGAATGGATGACCCACTAGGAAATTCTCATGTGAGTTCCTAGAAACAAAACCATGAGGGCGTGGTCGGGGCCTAAAGCAAACAATACCGTGCTACGGTAGAGTCGAGCCCTGAATATGATAAGGGCCTGATCGGGATGTGTCAATAATTATGGACGAGACATATTTAACCTCTTCGGATAGAGAATACCTGATTCTCGTAATCTTGTAATGAATTTGTCTTGATTACCTTTTACGTGAACTAAGGATTCAAGAATTCGGCGACAGTCATCAGAATTATCTCACGACATAGTTTCCAAAGTGGGAAGCTATATATGGAAAAAAAATATCTAAAATACATATATTAGTAGTCTTATCAAAATCTATTAGAAAGTCTTAAACATAACAGATAGACGGAAGGAACCTCAAGCCCTTTGTTGAAACCAAAAAACCCCTTTGAATGATAGAACAATCCACATCAAACCAAGAATATTAAAAAACACTGTTAGGTAACCTTGTTTTCAATTGAAGCTCCTTTACCTGGTGAAAAAACTTCTCCCTATTACAAGAATTAAAAGACAGTGTATTCAAATGAAAGAAATATAATAAAATCGATAAAACCGTATTGGAAATTCTTTTCTTTTCATGTTTTACCTTCATTAGGTCTGCAAAAACACAATGTTAAGGAAAAAAAAACCCTTTGAAATGAGATAGACCTACGCGAAGTTGAGAAGAGTAACACAAAAAAACACTAATCCAAAGAGCCTTGCATAATTCATGGGCATGAGACTATTTGGCTTCATGTTTTTATCTTCAATTCTTGGCTAGCTAGCTCTACATGCTTCTACTCTTGTTTCTCTTTTTTAAAGTAATTCTTTTCTTATGGAAGAAGTGCGTTAAATTTAAGTGATTATGACAAAGAAAAAGAAATATAATAACAATCGGTCAAAATAATGCAAACCCTAATAAAAGTAAATTAATTAGCACGTGACTAACCGTAACAACTCAAGTGTTAAATGAAATATAATCTCAAGGATAAATTACGCTCTCAGTAAAACAAATTTCAATTTCTAAAATTGTTTGTTATTAATTTGTTAACGGTGAAACAAAAGTGCACTAGACCTTCCCAAAACGGTTGTAAATCGAATAATATTGGACAGACTACATAATTAGTGTACCATGATCAACCCAAAGACAAGGCATTCTTCTTGGAAGAGATAAAAGAACTGGCCATTTCAAATACTTGAGAGTTGTCACATAATACTACGATCTAGTGGTATTCAACTTCACGTATAAGTGAGAGGTCTTAGATTCGATTCTCGTCAAAGGCAAATTTGAACCACATTATTGATAACTCATTGTAAGGCTTAACTCACTCCTCCATCCCCTTAGTGTAGATATGTCGTTTGTTCAAAAAAATACTGGAGGATTATTATTATTATTATTATTATTAGTATTTTTTGGTGAAATGTTACTTTATTATCAACACAATATATTATATGAGAAGACCCAAATACTAATATCCAAGGAAAAAAATGGACCTCCCCACTCCACAGTAACCAAGAGCCCAAAACATAAAAAACAACAAAACAAACTCTAAATAATGAAGCAAACCCTAGCAGCATCAAACCACCCGCTTGCCCACCAACAGAAACAAAGGTCCCCAGCATCACGTACTTAAGATTTGGAGTAGAGAAAAGCGGAACACTTTGCGGCCATAATCAGCCCAATTGATAAAAAAATATTTCGAAAAGTTGAAAGTTCCATATTTGGATGTTCGGTTTCTAATTATCACGGTTGATTCATTGTATGGTTTAAACCAAATTTATCACCATTTAAAGTTATATAGAAAATAATAATAATGAGACAAGTAATGGGTATGAACCCAGGAAGGGTTACAATCGGGTCCAATTTGATCCTAAAACATAGAGCATAATGTATTTCAGCCACTCATGCCGATCTTTGTTTTTACCTCTCTAGGTTGAAAAGTTTCTCTAGCTAATACTTTATAATTGACAATTCTATAAACAACTGGTTCGCAGTCTATCGACGAGCCAACTGTTAGTGTGAGATCCCATATTGACTAACGGAGAGGGGGTGATGTATCTTATATGTACATTCTCCCCTCCTTATAGCACAAGGTCTTTTGGGAACTCACTAGCTTCGGATTCCATCGGAACTCCGAAGTTAAGCGAATTTGAGCGAGAGCAATCCTAGAATGGGTGACCCACTGGGAAGTTGCTCCTGAGTTCCCAGAAACAAAACATTGAGAGAATGATAAGCCCAAAACGGACAATATCGTGCTACGTCGAAGTCGAGATTGGAATATGACAATTAGTCAAACATCTTTCAAAATAAATTGAATTTTAAACCCTTCAAATAAAAAACATGAAGTTTTAGAATCTAAGATGCGATTAAAATATTTAGGAACTTAAGATCATGTCTAATTTCGAATGCAATATTGGAAATAAAACTTAAATCAAAACCCGAATCTTTTTATTGAAGTTATTAAAACATCGGGGGGTGTTCATAAGTTGAGATTGTTTGAATTTTCGTTTGGATGCATTTATGCTCATCACAATGAACTATGATATAGGCTCACCATGCACCTCGTCATTTGACACATGTCATTTTACTTAATCATAGTTTTTTTTTTAATTAGAAAAAAAAAACATTTAATATTAAAGTTAACCATAATTAGTCAAAAAGACACGTGTTGGATGATGAGGTGTATAATAGGCACACATCATAGTTATGGTGGTGATAAAAATACAATGAGAAAAGAGAAATTGAGTGAGAAAATGTTGTTGATTCCGCAGAGACCCTTGAGGGTTTAATATGGAGCACTGGAAGTTGCAACTTCTTTTATTTTATTTCTCAAATCAAGGAGGTTACCATACTGTTCAGTTGTACCATGGATGTTGTTGAGTTTCCCAAATCAACTTGATGGTGTGATGAAGTTAAAGAGCCAAACTAAGACAATTATGCTAGAAGAGACTATATCCGACTTTAGTTTTGGAAATACTTTCTCTGTAGATTTAAAGAGGGCGAAAAGACAATTGGATTTCCTATCATAAAAATAAAATCTTAGGTAGTGATGTGATTTCGCAGAATTTAAATTTTGTTGTTTTCACGTATTATTATAGCATTTTAATTTAAAAAAATAATAATTCCACATTATCTCTCTCCAACTCCTTTCTTTTTCATATATATTAAATTTTTATATTCACACTTATATAGTAAATAGGCTTCTTCTAATTTTTTATTATTAAGAATTCAAATGCTTTTGAAAAAAAACAATTATTAAGATTTTTTGTGTTTCTTCATAAAACACATTTATGAATGACCAAAAAAATTAAAAAAATAAAACACAGTAATGATCAAGGTTCTAAAAGAAGTTAGGCGCTAGTTGGGCGGCGGGCTAAGGCTTAGCGCCTAGGCGCCTAGGTGGGCGGGCGCCCAGGTAGACTAGGCGGATTTAAGTAAATCTATTATATTTCGTGTAAATAAGTGTCTGATTATACTTAAAATATATATACTTTCATCATAAACTACAAAATAGAATGACATACATATTATGAAATATTAGAACATAAAGAAAACATGGGAAACAAGGGCATAATGCGTGTTCATTTAGGTATGCAACAAGTCTCTTACAATTTATTAAAAAAATGCAAAATGAAAGTTATCTTTTTTCTGTCTAAGTAAGTCGCGATCTAGACGAGTGCCTAAACGGGTCTGGATGGGCTAGGCGAGTGCTTAGGTAGTTTAGACGGGCACCTAAGTAAGTCTAGGCGTCATTTCTTAATTTTCAAACGTCTAGGCATTAATCGAGACGGTAGCTAGTCACCTAGCACCTAGGCGGGGCCTAAGCGGTGCTAGATGGGAATTTTTAGAATAGTGGTTATGATGCAAAAGCTCTTTAATTTATTGTCAATCTTAATCAAAAGTGTCTTTTGGTTGTTGAAAAATACTTTCAATTATTACAACACGGAATTATTTTTAGGAATTGTTGTTGACACTCCAAAAATCTCATTTTACACTCCTCACAAGTGTATTTTTCTTTCTAAATATAGAAAGTTTGGAGTGTAGAATGAGAATTTTAAAGTGTCAATAACAATTCCCTTATTTTTTCCACACATGCAATGTAGACGTTAAAACTCAATTTCATGTTGAAGGCAAAAATAAGACCTCGAGTATGTGAATAAACACTCTTCAATGTAACACGCTATGAATTATCTCAAACTATTTTTTTTTTTCTATTGAAATTCTGATTTTGCATGAGGCGAATTCTAAACCACTTTAATTACAAATATTTGCTAAACATTCTAGTCCAAAAATGATTAGAGTCAAATGTATATTCAATCACATCAGCATGTGACACTTTATCACAGTGCTGTAAAACAATAATACATATGCATCATGGTGCTGGTTCATTCCTCACCAATTTTTCTTCATATCAACAACTATATACTTAACTCACTAACCTTGTCATTTATATAAAAAATAATAATTAAATCAGATTTAACTTTTCACATTGGAACTAATGAATATTTAACTCACTAGTCCTATCATTTATTTAAAAAAATATATATAATTGAATCAGATTTAACTTTTCACATTGGAACTAATGAATAGTTATTTTTTTAATAATACATATGCATCATGTTACTGATTCATTCCTTACCGATTTTTCTTCATATCAACAACTATATATTTAACTAACTAACCTTATCATTTATATAAAAAATAATAATTAAATCAGATATAACTTTTCACGTTGGAACTAATGAATATTTAACTCACTAACCTTATTATTTATTAAAAAAATTAATTAATTGATTCAGATTTAACTTTTCACATTGGAACAAATGAATAGTTATTTTTTTACCCAAACGAGAAACGATACCCCCGAATCAACGGTTAAACCCATTTACCGTCTTAACACCCCACGCTCATGAAACACTAGTCATTCAATGGCACCCCCAAATTAGCAAAATTAAGGTTTACTGCGCTCTTCTTCGAATTCGTCGAACTCCAGAATCTGTAGCACCAAGGAAAATGGAGGCATATTCACCCATTTGTGTTCGCACGCGCTCCTACTAACTACACTGCCAGAGTAAGCTCGAATTCATTTGGGTACAAGAATGGTACGCACTCTCTCGCAACTGCTTTTCTTCATTTGGGTTCAATCTTCAGTGTGTTAATTGATGTTTTCACTGTTTAATTTCCAAATCCCCGTAGTATTAATCGAAACCGGCTTCAATTGAAAAACCCCAAAACACAAAATTTAGGTTTCATGGAACAGAAGCATAAGATATTGGATAGTTCAAGTTGTGAGGGTGAAGGAAGATGTCGTAGTCGTAAGGAAGATAGATTCAGTGGTCTTCCCGACGGAGTTGCGTATCGTATTCTTTCGTTTCTTACTATAAAGGACGTCACTTGTTTCAGCATTGTGTCCAAAAGATGTAGGGAACTTTATCTGTCAACTCCGTCTTTGGATTTCGACTTCAAGACTACAAGAACACCCTCGGGTGAGTATAAGTATTTCAGAGAGGCCACGTGTGAGGTTAGATTGAATTTGTTGAACTCATTGGATAGGTTCTTGCTTCAACGCGGGGATAACAAGATAGAGTACTTTCGTCTTGTGTGGGAGAGTCACTCTGTAGTTGAAGAAGACAGTGACGACCAAAGGGATGAAGAACCATGCTTCTGTGTTAATGAGCGTTTTCGGATAATGACTTGGATTCATAATGCACTGAGGTGTAATGTTGAAGTTCTTGATGTTAAGAGCGATGTAGATTATTTTGAGGATGAACCGTATGCATTATTTCCTTCTTGTGTCTTTCTCTGTGCACCTTTGACTTCTCTAGCAGTTGAAATGAATCGTACAATGGTTAAAACACCTTCTGCTGCCTTTTCCTCAAATCTTGTAGACCTGAAGTTGATAAATGTTGAAATAGAAGATGAGGGGTTTTTCAAATGGATCTCATGTTCCTGCAAATTCATCAAGGAAATACATCTTTGTCATATTCGTATAACAGGTAATATCATCATCAAGAGCTCGTCTCTAGAAAAATTCGAATATTTGGAGGGTACATTCACACGGAGCCATATTGACATCTCAGCCGAGAAACTTGAAGTCATAAATATTGACTGGACGTTTCAGTCACCTGGTGACAATTCGTTAAATATTTTTGCTCCAAAACTTAAGTATTTTGAATGGAGAGGATATCTGATGAATCAGGCAAACCTGGGACAGCTAGAATGTTTGGAAAAAGCTGTTATTTGCCTGGAGCCTAAAGCAGATGACTCTGACAAACTGATTAAGCATTTTTACAGTTTGCGCAGGGTTGAACTTCTTGTTTTAAATGCAGCGACCTTTAAGGTAATGAGAACCACAACCCTTCATACTGAATATTACTTTTCGGTGAAATAAACTAGATATTTTGTTATCCGAAATAATTTTATTATTTTGTTCCTCTCTTTACATTTCAGTTTAAACAGGATAACAATACTTTTACATTAAAATGGTCACACTTGCTATAACAAAATGAGAAACGTGATATAGGTTTTGCCTTTATGACATTGCAGGCATTGTTCAGGGAAGGATACACGCATGCTCAATTTGATCGTCTTTTTTATTTGCAATTGAATCTAAGGAGCTTTTCTGATGATATCTTTCCTGCAGTGGTCTCTCTATTAAGAGGATTGCATAATTTGTGTACTTTATACATAACTTGTTTTGCTGTCCCAAGTTCTATGGACCCTCAACCCAATGTAAGTTAAGTCTATGATTTCCTTTCTTAATATCGTAAAACTTCTATCTACTCGTGAAAAAAAAATTGGTTCCAACTTGGGCTAGTTATAAGTATTATTAACCTCCATGTCGTATTACGTAATAATTTCTTTACATCTGTTTTAAAACTTGTCTCCACATTGCAAAAATTGTCAAAAAACCTAAAAGATGTAAGTTTAAAGATGAAATCAAATAATTCTCTTAAGTATGCAGTCTCCCAATATTTATTTAGGTCCCATTTTAAGATAAAGTTGTTCTGCACATGGTAAAAATTGTCAAGAATAGTTTATTCTTTAGAGTTCTTGTCACGTCTTTGAGCTTGTGAATACGTAATCACTTGTCAACATGGACACCTTTTTGGTGAAGCCGAGCTGCTCTTAGCTTCGTTTGGTTTCTCATTTTGTGGAAAATTTCAAATTGGTTGCTTGTTGACTTGTTGCTGTTGCAGGTATCTGGGTTTGATAAGGAATACTGGAAGCTGCAGAATCTGGATTTTATTGATCAGATTAAGGAGGTTACCATAGTGCTGGATGGGTCTAGTAACGGGATTGAGTTTGCACGGTATATACTCGAGAATGCCAAGAACCTGGAACAAATTTACTTACAACATTTATTGGATCTGCCTGATGATGCTATACAGAAGCTAAATGAAAGTAAGATGTCCAGGGCAACAGTTAACTTTGAGGAAGACTCCGAGGAAGACTACGAGGAAGACTCCGAGGAAGACTTCGAAGAAGACATTGAGGAAGACTAAAAGAGATAACAAAGAAAGCAGTTTTGATGTTTTGCAGTTGTTTTTTGCTATGATATTGAAACCCTAATGTACATGTTGATATAGCGTCGTTAATTTTTATGGTCGTATGAAAAAAATTCTCTTGAATTAGAGAAAACCGAAATGGAGAAAAAGAATCTATGGCCAAGCAGATCTTACTTCAATCTCACTTGGGCTTTTGAAACCTAATCTGCATTACTTCGCACCTTGAAACTCAATTTTTTGCATCAGTTTAAGCCGAAATCAAAGCACATTGAATTTTAAGCCTTTCAAATCAAAACCATGAAGTTTTAGAATTATAAGATGTGATTGAAATTTTTAGCAACTTAAGATCAAGCTTAATTTCGAGTGTAAATTGAAAATAGAATTGTATCACATTGCCGAAAAATAATTATGCATATGTATTATAATATTGGTCTGATCCTCAATTGTTCTACTTCTTTTTAACAAATAACTATTTAACTTACTGATGTGTTTAAAAAAATAAATAAATAAATAATGTATGAACTCATCTGGGCACAAGAATGGTACACACTCTCTCGCAACTGATTTTCTTTATTTCGGTTCAATCTTCGGTGTGGTAATTGATTTTTCAGGGTTTGGTTTTCAAATCCCCGTAGTATTAATCGAAACCGGCTTCAATTGAAAAACCCCAAAACACAAAATTTAGGTCTCATGGAACAGAAGCATGAGACATTGGCTAGTTCAAGTTTTGAGGGTGAAGGAAGTAGTCGTAGTCGTGAGGAAGATAGATTCAGCGGTCTCCCCGACAGAATTGCTTATCGAATTCTTTCGTTTCTTACTATAAAGGACGTCGCTTGTTTCAGCATTGTGTCCAAAAGATGCAGAGAACTTTATCTGTCAACTCCGTCATTGAATTTCGAATTCATGACTACAGGAGCACCCTGGGGTGTGTGGAAGTGTTTCTGCGAGGCCTCGTGTGAGGTTAGGTTGATGTTGGTGAACTCATTGGATAGGTTCTTGCTTCAACGCGGGGATAACAAGATAGAGCACTTTCGTCTTGTGTGGAAGAGTTGTAAGGATGTAGACAGTGGATAGGATCATGACAGTTGTCAAAAGATTATAACTCTTAGTTAGATAGTCAGTTAGAGAGTTAGTCTTGTGTATAAATACATCATTGTAATAGCTTGGAGATTAAGAAAAAAGATTAATACAACAGCTTACAACTTCTCTCTAAAACCTTCTCTCTCTCTCTCTAGTTCTTGATTCTGATTTCCTTCTACGATCTTCCCCTGTCTATATTAACATGGTATCACTCGCCATTGTTGCTTGCGCTGTGTTCTTCGATCCTTCAGCTGCTTCCGCTCATCTTTTTGCTCTGTGATTTGGTGTTGCCGATCGACTATTACCGTGTTCTTGGTTGATTCTTTGGTATCTTCTCTCTCTGTGATTTCTAGGGTTTCTGCATTGCCCGTTCTCTCTCTTTCTGCGACTATCGATTTGTGCACACCAGGTGTTTGTGATATTTCTTCTCTTCAATTTCTGTCTCAATTCTGCAAATATGGTTACGGCATCTCAATTACAAATTCTCCGATCACCTATTACTAGTCTTATCTCTACAATTTCTACCTCTGTGAATGTGAAGCTTGATGATTCTAATTACTTGAATTGGCATTTCCAAATGCAATTGCTACTTGAGGGGCACGGGATCATGAGATTTGTTGATGGCTCCACTCCTTGTCCATCTCGATATGTTCTTTCTAACTCTTCTGCTGTTGATGGTTCGAATTCGTCAACTCAATCTGAGAATGAAGATTATGTTGTTTGGAAGATGCATGATCGGGCCCTTATGCAGTTGATTACTGCAACTTTGTCTCCGGTTGCGCTTTCCTGTGCCATTGGAAGCACAAGTGCTTGTGATCTTTGGACCCGGTTACATGAACAATTTTCTGTTGTATCTCGGACTAGTGTTTTTCAACTCAAGTCGAATCTTCAAACCATCAAGAAAGGGACTGATTTTGTGTCTCAATATTTGCAGCGAATTAAGGAAGCTCGAGATTACTTGTCCGCGGCTGGTGTTCCTTTTGCAAATGAGGATATTGTTATTCTAGCCCTCAATGGATTACCTTCTGAGTATAATACATTTCGTAGTGTTATACGGGGTCGTGAGAATGTTATTTCTCTCCAAGAATTTAGGGTGCAGCTTCTTGTTGAAGAACTGATTGTGGACAGTACTGAAACTTCTCATTTTTTGTCTGCCATGGTGGCTAGTAACTTTGCTCCTAAATCCCATCCATCTGGTGGTGCTCATTCGGGTTTTTCAGGTCCTCAGCCTGTTTCCTCTGGTGGATTTCGATCCTTTAGTTTCAACAAGAAGGGTAAAAGTAAATCTAATCAGGGCTATCGGTATTCTAATCCGAGTCCTAGACAGCAGTTTCCTAATCACGGTTCACCATCAGCACCTGTTTTCTCTGGAGTGCTAGGACCCTCACCTTCACAGTCTATTGGACACTCAGCTATGCAGCAAGTGTCTTGTCAACTCTGTAATCAGTTTGGCCACACTGCTCCGTTTTGTAAATCCAAACAGTTGGAAAGACAAGGCTGTCAAATTTGTGGCAAGGCAAATCATACCACCTGGTATTGTTTTTTCAATGACAAAGGTCCCAACTTTGGTGGTCCACACTACTCTCAGATGTCTTGCCATGAGTATGTTTCTTCCGCACCTACTCAATCCAATATTCAGGCTCTGCACACAGTCTCTTCTCAGTCCTCTTCAGCTCCTCCATCACAGATTTGGCTTACTGACTCGGGCGCTACCAACCATATGACTGCCGATTTCAGCAATTTGTTCTTGGCATCTCCTTATCCCGCTACTGAGACTGTGCAAACTGCCAATGGTGAAGGTTTGAAAATTTCACACATTGGTAGCTCTATCATTCAAACACCTGTGAAACCACTCAATTGAATTCCATTCTTTATGTGCCTCGGCTGTCTCAAAATTTGTTATCTGTTCATCGCATTTGCCTTGATAACAACTGTTGGTTAGTGTTTGATGCTTACTGTTTCTGGATCCAGGACAAAGCCACAGGGAGGGTCTTGTACAAAGGCCAATGCAGTAATGGACTATACCCCATTCCATCCCTTTCCAATCCATCCTTTCTTTCTCCAGGTCATTCTCAAGGGCATTTTAAAGCTTCTGCATTGCTTGGACAGCTTGTTAGCTCTCATCTTTGGCATAGTAGGTTAGGGCATCCTTCAAATACCACTGCCTCTATCATGCTTACTAAGTCTCATAATTCTTGTACAAAGGATATTGTTCTATGCTCTGTCATAGTTGTCTAGAGGGCAAGTTTACTAAACTGCCTTTTCAGTCTAGTGCACACAAATCTGTAATTCCTTTTGAAACTGTACACAGTGACCTTTGGGGTCCATCTCCATGTAATTCCATTGATGGTTACAAGTATTATGTAACTCTCATTGATGAGTGCACTAGATATTGTTGGTTGTTTCCTCTTGTTAATAAATCAGATTTCTTTGACATCTTTGTTGGTTTCTATTCCTTTGTGCAAACTCAATTTTCTGCTTGTATTAAAACTTTGCAAACTGATGGTGGTGGTGAATATTGTAGCCATAAACTTCAAATGTTTCTTACCAATAAAGGTATTCTTCACCATAAATCATGTCCCTATACTCCGGAACAAAATGGCTTGGCCGAAAGAAAACATAGACACATTGTTGAGACCACTGTCACTTTGTTACAATCTGCCAAATTGCCCTCCTCCTTCTGGACCTTTGCTTGCCAAACTGTTGTCTATCTGATCAATCGTATGCCTACACCAGTTTTGAATAATTGTTCACCATTTGAAAAACTTTTTGGTACTCCTCCTATTTTGACTCATCTTAAGGTGTTTGGGTGTTCTTGCTTTCCTCTATTAAGACCTTATATTCAGAACAAATTACAAGCTAAGACCAAAGAGTGTGTATTTCTTGGGTATGCCTCAAAGTATAAGGGGTTCATTTGTTTTGATGTGTTACAAGGTAGGTTCTACATTTCTAGACATGTAGTGTTTGATGAGTCTAAATTTCCCTACTGTCACCTGTTTGCATTACCAAAGTCCACACCTGTGACATCACCTACCTCTCGGCCATACTCACCACTTCCAGTTCCTAATATGGACAATGTCCTAGTTCATTCACCCACACCCCCACCTAGTACTTCCTCCTCAGTTTCCCCTATGTCCTCCTCTTCCTCATCTATCTTATCATCCTCTCTACCTACTGAGCAATCCCCTTCTCCACCCAGTATCTATTCTCAGTCCATTACTGTTCCTGCAAGTTCTATTTCTCAACTCCCTGTGGACTCTCAATTTAGTCCGAACTTACTTCAAGTGGTGTTACCAATTACTCCACTTAATATGCATCCTATGCAAACTAGAAGTAAGATTGGAATCATTAGGAAGAAGGCCTTTCTCAGTCAAGTGGCTGCATCTTCTGATGTTGATTTATCTTTGGTGGAACCTGCAACATATAAATCTGCAATGAAGATACCTGTGTGGTCCAAAGCAATGCAGGACGAGGTTGATGCATTGCATAACCAACACACTTGGAGTCTTGTACAGTTGCCTCCTCACAAGAACCTTGTTAGTTGTAAGTGGGTTTTCAAACTCAAAAAGCACTCCGATGGGACAGTGGCTCGGCATAAAGCTCGCCTTGTTGCTAAAAGGTTCAGTCAAGAGCCTGGTTTGGACTATGGTGAAACCTTTAGTCCCGTGGTTAAACCAACCACTGTCAAGTTAGTTCTAGCCTTGGCAGCTCACTTCAATTGGACTCTTAGACAGTTGGATGTCAAGAATGCGTTTTTGCATGGTTTGTTAAATGAAGAAGTGTACATAGCTCAACCTCCTGGTTTTGGCGATCCTGCACATCCTGATTTGGTTTGTAAATTGCACAAGTCTCTATATGGATTGAAACAGGCGCCTAGAGCCTGGAATGACAGGTTTACCAGCTTTCTTCCCTCTCTTGGCTTTCAATCCACATATGCTAATTCTTCTTTATTTGTTAAGCTTGCTGGCAGTGACATTGTGGTACTTCTCCTCTATGTCGATGATATTATTCTTACTGGCAGTTCTCAGTTAGCTATTCACCAAGTGATTACCTTTTTAACTTCTGAGTTTGACATCAAGGACTTGGGGGATCTTCATTACTTTTTGGGCATTCAAGTTCTCAAAACTGCTACAGGATTATTTTTGTCTCAGTCCAAATATATACTGGACTTGTTGCAGAGAGTTGAGATGGTTGATTGTAAGCCATGTGATACCCCTTGTTTGCCTTACAATCGGTTGGTTAAAGATGATGGCACTCCCTACAATAATCCAACAACATATCGAAGTATAGTTGGAGCCTTACAATATCTCACCTTCACTCGACCGGACATTGCTTTCTCAGTTCATCAAGTCTGCCAGTTTATGCAATCTCCAATGGTGTCGCATTTTACTGCTGTCAAGAGGATTTTGAGGTATCTAAAGGGGACACTGTCTACTGGCATCTCTTATACTCGAGGAGATTTACTACTGAAGGCATTTAGTGATGCCGATTGGGCTGGTGATCCCAATGATAGGCGTTTTACCACTGGTTTGGTTGTCTTCTTCGGCAATAACCCTATTTCTTGGTCCTCTAAGAAACAACCCACTGTTTCTCGTTCCTCGACGGAAGCCGAATACAGAGCTATATCTACTACATCCGCTGAACTTGATTGGATTCAACAACTCCTGGCATTTATGCATGTCAAGCCTGCTGTTCCTCCTGTTCTCTTCTGTGACAATCTGTCTGCCATAGCTTTGTCCTTTAATCCGGTTCAACATCAACGCATGAAGCATATTGAGATCGATGTACACTTTGTGCGTGAACGGGTTGCTAAGAAGCAACTTTGTGTTCAGTTTGTCTCCTCTCGAGAACAATTTGCAGATATTTTAACTAAGGGCCTTAGTGCTCCTCTTTTTAAGTCTCATTGTTTCAACCTCATGCTCGGATCATCTCCTCATGAGTTTGAGGGGGCATGTAAGGATATAGACAGTGGATAGGATCATGACAGTTGTCAAAAGATTATAACTCTTAGTTAGATAGTCAGTTAGAGAGTTAGTCTTGTGTATAAATACATCATTGTAATAGCTTGGAGATTAAGAAAAAAGATTAATACAACAGCTTACAACTTCTCTCTAAAACCTTCTCTCTCTCTCTCTCTCTCTCTAGTTCTTGATTCTGATTTCCTTCTACGATCTTCCCCTGTCTATATTAACAAGAGTCACGCTGTATACGAAGAAAATGATGAAGCACCATGCTTCTGTGTTAATGAACGTTTTCGACTAATAACTTGGATTCACAATGCAATAAGGTGTAATGTTGAAGTTCTTGATGTTAAGAGCCGTGTGGTTGATTTTGACGATGAATTGTACTCATTATTTCCTTCTTGTGTCTTTCTCTGTGCAACGTTGCATTCTCTAGCGGTTAACATGAATTTTACAATGGTTAAAACACCTTCTGTTGCCTTTTCCTCGAATCTTGTAGACCTGAAGTTAATAAAGGTTAAAATAGAAGATGAGGGGTTTTTCAAATGGATCTCATGTTCCTGCAAATTCATCAAGGAAATATTTCTTTGTGGTATTAGTGTAAGAGGTAATATCATCATCAAGAGCTCTTCTCTGGAAAAATTTGGATATGTGGACGGTAGCAGGTTTACACTGAGCCATCTTAACATCTCAGGCGAGAAACTTGAAGTCATAAATATTTCCTGGACGTTTAATTCACCTGATGACAAGTCGTTGAATATTTTTGCTCCAAGACTCAAAGATTTATGTTGGAGGGGGAGCCTTGTGAATCAGGCAAACCTGGGACAGCTAGAATGTTTAGAAAAAGCTCTTATTTGCCTGGAGCCTGAAGCAGACGACTCTGACAAACTGATTAAGCATTTTTACAGTTTACACAGGGTTGAACATCTTGTTTTAAATGCAGCGACCTTTAAGGTAATGAGAACCACAACCCTTCATACTGAATACTACTTTCTGGTGAAAAAAACTTGATATTTTGTCATCCGAAATAATTTATTTATTTTGTTTTCTCTTTACATTTCAGTTTAAACATGATAACGATGCTCTTACATTAAAATGGTCTCACATGTTGTGACAAAATGAGAAAAATGATATAGGTTTTGCCCTTATGACATTGCAGGCTTTGTTCAGGGAACGATCCACGCATGCTCAGTTTGATCGTCTTTTTCATTTGCAATTGAATCCATGGAGCTTTTCTGATGATATCTTTCCTGCGGTGGTCTCTCTATTAAGAGGATTGCATAATTTGTGTACTTTATTCGTAAGTTGTTTTGCTGTCCCAAGTTCTATGGACCCTCAACCTGATGTAAGTCTATGATTTCCTTTATTAATATCAATGTCATAAAACCTACTCATGAAAAGAAATGGTCCCAACTTGAGCTAGTTATAAATATTATTAACCTCCATGTCGTAAATACGTAAAAATTTCTTTACATCTGTTTTATGAAACTTGTCTCCACATTGTAAAAATTGTGAAAACAACCAAAAATATGAAGCAATTTAAGTTTTAAGATGAAATCAAATAATTCTCCAAAGTATGCAGTGTCCCAATGTTTATTTAGGTCCCGTTTTAAGATAAACTTGTCGGCACATAGTAAAAATTGTCGAGAATAATTTATTTTTTAGAGTTTTTTTTCATGTCGTTGAGCTTGTGAAAACGTAATAACTAGTCAACATGGACACCTTGTTGGTGAAGCCAAGCTGTTACTAGCTTCTTAAGCATGTTTATATCTTCTTGTGATGAAACTTCTGGCATTTCATACTATATTTTGGAAATTGAAATGCTCCTTATATTATTGGAATTGGTTTTAGGATGTTTCATTTGGTTTCTTATTTTGGGGAAAATTCAAATTGGTTGCTTGTTGCTGTTGCAGGTATCTGGGTTTGATAAGGAATACTGGAAGCTACAGAATCTGGATTTTATTGATCAGATTAAGGAGGTTACCATAGAGCTGGATGTGTCTAATAACGGGATTGAATTTGCACGGTATATACTCCAGCATGCCAAGAACCTGGAGCATATGTGCATACAATATTTATTGGATCTGTCTGATGATGCTATACAGAAGCTAAATGATAGCAAGAAGATGTCCAAGGCCATTATCTTTGAGGGAGTCTGCCACAGGTGGCCACAGTTTGATTCCGACTGTGAGGAAGACTGAGGAAAACTTCGAAGAAGCCTTTGAGGAATGCTAAACGAGATAAGCAAAAAAAGCAAATTTGATGTTCATCAGAAGTTGTTTTTTGATATAATATTGAAACCTTAATGTACATTTTGATATTGCCTTGTTAATATTTATCGTGGAATAGAAAAAATTTCTCGAATTAGAGAAAGTCGAAATGTAGGAGAAAAAGAATCCACGACCAAGCAGATCTTAAATCAGCTCGTTTAAGGCTTATTTTTTGGTATGTCTCCTAGAATTTTATTTCAATTTCATCTTGTCTTCTAAAACTTAGTTTGCGTCACTTTGCACTCTCGAACTCAATTTTGCATCACTTTGCTATGTCAAGCTAATGTACTAATCAAGCTAATGTCGTTTTCTTATTGATTGAACTTCATACTAATACAACTGTGATAAAATGCCACTTGCAAAAGCAACAGCTTTTTCATATGAGCGCTTCAAATATATAGATATATATAGAGAAATTTTATTTAAACCCATGTAACCTCTTTCTACCTCCAACTTAAATTTTAGATGTTAATTGTCTTTTTTAACCTATTGCATAATTACTATCAAGTACAAGATTAAATTAATAATAAAACTAAAATTTATCAATAAACCTACACACTATAATTAAACTCCACCATGACTCCTTGTTTATCTTATGTTCATTTCGTCTCAAACCCTATAATTTTTATAGAGAGAAAAAAGTTTTTTTTCAGTCTGAGGAAAGTGCTTCTATCGTCTATGCAACATTAGCTATTGATAAGGCGTTGCAACCAGACAAGGTGAAAGAAAAATGTTAGTTTCCAACTGCAAGCTTTTAGTGCACTTTGAGGCTGCTGAGGTGACATTTCTTCAAGCATCGTATAACACATAATTGAATTGGTGTTTGTGGAACTTTTCAAAGCAAAAAAAAAAAACAAAGGGTACTCTCTCTTTCATTCAGCATGAATGTCCCTTGCATGTCGATCAGCGCAAACCTTGCTCCGGAGGTACCCAAGTCCATTCTGAGATAAAGCCGCTCCACCCCCCCCCCCCCCAACTGAAACACCCACTTGAGCTTCATCATTACTGCTTCCAACAACCATTAGTATTGTTGGACCTCTTGGCCGCCATCTCAATCTTGCATGCTCGTTCTTCACACCATTACACAACCCATTTCTTGAAAACTCCGTTTGTAGACTGAACATCCCTGAAGCATCAAACACTTAATAGCTTGAATTTGATGCACAACTACTATAACTACTTGGTGTTGGTGATCAGAGAGAGAGAGAGAGACCATGTGTAAGTGTATGTGTATGTGTATGTGTCAGGGGATGGCGACCATGGAAACATGAAGGAGGTTGCATTTGCAGCCATGGGAAATGTTATAAATGGGTGTAAAGATCATTTTACATTTTGAACTGGGTTTGGGAGAATAGTTTAGGTAATAACTATGGGTTTAAAGAGATATTAATTCTTTAATAAAAATTAATATGGGTGTAGATAATAAGTTGGATGTAGAGATAGATTATATGGGTTCAAATAAAATTTCCCATATATATATATATATAGGCCCTTTGTACAAAAGATCTCTATTTAAAAAAAAATAGGGATTAGATGTAGGGCCCACTCCACATCGAACTTTAACAATTCGAATAATCTATTTTGTAACTCTCAATTCATAAATTATCTTTGCAAAAATTCAATTCAATCCGAAATCATTTGCATATTTAATTATCAAGATAAAATTTCATTATTTCTTATATAACAAAGTATTCGTTAATTGTTTTGAACCCAATTAGATGTATTAAATATTTTCGATTTGACTAATATTTTGTAAGGATAATCTATAATTTGTAATTTGAAAAATAGACAGAATGGGATTCCTCATCTTAAAAAAAAAAAAAATATATATATATATATATATATATATATATATATGTATATATAGAGAGAGAGAATTGTTATTACCATTCCAAAAATCTCATTCTACACTTCAAACTTTCGATATTTGAGAAGAAGAATACACTTGTGAGGAGTGTAATGATATATATATATATATATATATATATATATATATTTCTGAGGCCTAGTTCTGCCAGAACGCCGCCATTCTCAAATAGTAACACCCCCAATTTTAACAAAATTAGGGTTCTTTCTACTCTTCTTTCTAGGAGGTAAGGGCACAGTGGATCGACACCAATTTTGGCTCCAACGTGCTCCTACTAGCTACAGTATGATCGGATTCTGTTGGTACGAAATGGGTAAGTACCACTTTTCTGCATTTTGATTCACATTGATGATTTGGTGTTCAATTCTCTTTGCATCGTAGTAGAAATTGAAATTCTAGCTTTATATTGCAAAATCCTAACACAGAAATTAGTTGGGTTCACGAGTCGCAAGCTTAAGTTAATGGCTTCTGCAAGTCGTCGACGTGAAGGAATTTGTAGTGGGCGTGAAAGTGAGAGTATGAAAGATGTATTTAGTAACCTTCCAGACCAGATTTCCCATCACATTCTTTGCCTACTTGCTGTAACCGACCTCGCTCGTTTCGGTTGTGTGTCCAAAAGATGCAGAGAACTTTGCCTGTCATCTCCCAAGTTGAATTTGGATGAATTTTCCTTGGTGAATACGTCCACTTGTTATAAGCGGCTCGAATTGTTTACCTATTTGGATAGGTTCTTTTTCCACCGTGGTGATAATAAGATACAAAGCTTCCGCCTTCGTTGGTATAGGCATGATGTATGTGAGGGTGAAGATGAAGAAGCACAATGCGTCTGTGATTGTTGTGCGAGTTTCAGACTGTTTACATGGATTGAAAATGCAGTAAGGTGTAATGTTGAAGTGCTTGATCTGGCGATGAATTATCAGGATGAGGAGGAACGGTTTCTGTTTCCTGCTAGTGTCTTTTTGTGTGGAACTTTGAGGCATCTAATACTGCACCTGAACTGTACGGTTCTTAAGACTCCGTCATTCGCTTTTCAATCTAATCTCAAGATCTTGGATTTGAAAAATGTTGATATAGATGATGGTGGTGGATTTTTCAAATGGATCTCATGTTGCTGTAAATTCATTGAGGAATTAAGCCTTGAACACGTTTGTGTGACACAAGAAATTACTGTTGAAAGCTCGTCTCTGAAAATACTTAACTGTTCTGGTATCTTTCTGATTGATAAATGTCATATTAACATCTCATGTGAGAAGCTTGAGTACATACGTATTTGCTGGGTATTGGACTCACCGAGAAACAAATCCTTAAATATGTTTGCCCCAAATCTGAAGTCTTTCAAATGGTTCGGGAGTTTGATGAATCACTCAAATTTGGGAAAATTAGAATGCTTAGAAGTAGCTTCATTTTTCTTGGAGCCAACATTGGATATCTTGGACAATATAGTCGAGGTTCTTCACAGTTTATGCAGGGCTAAACTTTTTATGCTAAATGAAGCGACCATTAAGGTAAACAGAACTGTAACATCTCAAACTGATTTTTCATTTTCTTTTTGAACTTCTTTCAACTTTTTTCCTTTACTTCTTTGTGATATGGCAATGATAGGATTAGTTACTTTACGTTCCTTAAGCTACAATGCTGTTTTAAAATTGAGATATGACATTAATCTTACATTAACCAGAACGAAAATTCACTTCTATGCTGAGTTTTGTGGAAAATAATAAAAAATATATTGCGAAACAAGTTTGTTTTTGCAATTTGAATTTTTTTTCTTCTTCTCATTTTGTTATCTGGAAACTATAGGATTAGATAATTTATGTTTCTTATGCTCCGATGTGATGATATTAGTTTTACGATAATCAGAATGTAAATTCATACCAATGCTAAATTTTGTTGAAAAGAATAAAAAATAAAATGAGAAACAATATACTATTGCAGGCTCTTCCATTGAAGGAATTATCATCTAGGCCAGCTCCACTATGTGATACTAGTTCTTTGTGTATCGAAATTGGAAGCTTTATTGATGAGCTGATCCCAGCAATGGTCTATCTCTTCAGAGCAATGCCTAAGCTTTGTACTTTATGCATAATGTTGAATCCGCCCTCTGGTGACCCTAACTCTAATGTAAGTTTATGCCAGTGCTTGCTTCAAGAGTATAAGCTCCCCCTCCCTACTTCTTTCTCCTTTTCTCTCTCTCTTCCTCTTGCTTTTTTTTTTTATCCTGGTACATATTCAAGATTTTTTTGAATAACGCAATTATTTCTTTCTTAAATTTGGGTTGATTTGCATGTTGCCTGTTTTCCTTTCCAGGCATCGGGGATTAGCATGGAATACTGGAAGTTGCAAAACCTCGCGTTTGTTTATCAGCTCAAGCACGTTGCTATAGAGCTTTGCCACGGGTCTAATGGAATGGAGTTAGCAAGGTACATTATCGAGTATGCTCAGAATTTGCAAAAGATGGTAATAGTTTATTCTTCCCAGGACTTGGAAAAAATTACAAGGGTGTTAGAGAAAAGCAAGATGATTCCCAATGCGACAATTGACTTCCAGGAAAAATCGATCAAGAGGTAGAAGAAAGCTGTTTCGATAATTTTCAGAATTTATTTTTGTTGCAATGTCGAAACCTTAGTAGGCAGGGGGCCGGACCCAGGCTATAGCCGAGGCTAGAGTTTTTGTTTTCAAAATTAGCAAGGAAAGCTTTCTTTCAAAATTATTGTGGTTTGTCTTCTGAAGGCCTTTTGGAATTGCTCCCGTATGAGCTTCTCTCTTTGGCTTCTGCATTTGCATTTTAGTCTGTGAAAGTTGTAAAACACGCAATCACGCAATGCACGTAAACATGCCTAGTTTTCATTTTATGCTTTGCTCGGTACTAATCACAAGTAAAAATGTTGTCAAACAAGCTAGGTTTCAAATTTTTTTTTTTTTTTTTTTTTCAGTTCTCTCTCTTCTTCCACTTGACAATCAGTGTGCCGACATGGTTGCAGCGGGTGCGGGTGGTGAGGGGGTGGCCGGTGCGGTGGTTAAGATTGCGCGGGAAGCTGACAAGTTCATGATTCATGGAATATGTCTATATTATATATCTCTGTAGACTGTATATTCTTACCGGGCTGAACATAATACATGTTTTGATGCGTGAAACCAAATCTCCATCTCCATAATTTGGGATTTATTTGAAAAAAAAAAGAAAAATGAAAAAGGAAGATTCCACAACAATTACAAATTTAAAGGAAGACTCGGTAATACTACGGTCTAGTAGTATTTATTTTTACTTGTAAGTGAGAAGTTTTAGGTTCAAAAGTGAATTTGAACCACATTATTGCTAACTTATTGTGAGGTTAATCACATCTCATCTTTTTTAATGTAGATAATATCGTTTGTTTAAATAAATAAATAAACTTGTAGCCTTATATGTCCTTCACTTGATTCCCCTCCAAAGGAAAAATCATTCGCTTCCACTTTAAATATACCTAAAAATTTAGTTCTTTGTTCGAACCTAATCATGTGTATTAAACGAGCCATATATTCTTATAGTTAGCCACATTTCATATATATATTTTTTTTTAAGAAAAGATTGACATTTCCAAAGAGTGAAGTTTTATTTTAACCAAAAAAAAAAAAAAACTGAAGTTTTAAATAATTTTTTCTTTACCAAATAATTCTTCCATCCATGTAAAAAAAAAAATGGAGTTTTAACGAAACACTTTCGGTACTGTTCACTTTTAACAAAAAAATCACAGTTTTATTTTTTCTTGATGCTATTTATTGCATCTTCATTTATTTATTTTTTCATTAAACTAATATGTTTTTTAACTTTTCATTAGTTTTTTTATAAAAAAAAAAAAGAGTAAAAATAAATTTGAATAATACAGGTTTCGGCGGGTGATATCGAAAAAAATAAAAAGTAAATAAGGTTTTGGCGGGCCAAAAGAAAATTTCACGCGGCAAATCGGGACTCGAATTAGCGGGAACAAATTTAGTGGAAATCGACAAAAATACTAAACTTATAAAAGCCTAGGAACCATCAGAACGCAACTCCCGAAAGCCCCAAATCAACAAATTTAGGGTTCTTCAAGATCCAGATTTGGGACGGAGGATGATGGGAGCGCACCGCCGATTCTGGCTCGCTGATGGACTTATGGTGGGTACAATCGAGATGGGTAAGTGAGTTGGCATTTCTTCATTTCTGTTCACTGTGCAAAGAGAAAGGCATAACTTGATTGACGCTTTACTGTTAAACTCTCCGTGAATCGTAGTAGAAACTGAAAAGCCATCTTCTTTTGCAAAACCCTAAATTCGGATTTTGATTAGCTTTCATGGAAAGCGAGGGTGAGGTAAAAGCTACTGCAAGTCCCCGAGGCGAAGGAGTTTGTAGTGAGAGTGAGAGTATAATAGATGTATTTAGCAAATTTCCAGACCAGATTTCCCATCACATTGTCTCCTTTCTTACTGTGACCGATCTCATTCGCTTCGGTTGTGTGTCTAAAAGATGCAGAGAGCTTTGCCTGTCATCCCCTAAGTTGAACTTCGATGGGTTTTCGTTAGCGAATACGTCCACGTGTTATTACCGGCTCAAGTTGTTGAGTTATTTGGATAGGTTCTTTTTCTATCGCGGGGATAGTAAGATACAGAGCTTTCGTGTTCGTTGGTTTAAGCATGAGGAATACAAGCTTGAGGAATACGAGGGTGAAGAACCACCGTGCTTCTGTGCTCGTGATTGCTACGAAGGTACCCGAATGTTCACATGGATCCAAAATGCGGTTAGGTGTAAGGTCGAAGTGCTGGATCTTGGGACGGATGTATATGACTCGGAGCATGAACTACTTCCGTCTTGTGTCTTTCAATGTGAAACTTTGAGGTATCTAGTGCTGCATGTGAATTGGACGATTCTTAGGACTCCCTCGTTCACTTTTCCATCTAATCTCAAGTATTTGGAGTTGAAAAAAATCTTTATAGAAAATGAGGGATTTTTCAAGTGGATCTCCTGTTGCTGCAAATGCATCGAGGAGTTAAATCTTCAAGAAGTTCATGGGATAGAAACTATGACCATCAAAAGCTCGTCTCTGAAAAAACTGAGCTTTTCTGGTTTTTCAGTTGACCTCTGCCATATTAACATCTCGTGTGAGAAACTTGAAGGTATATTTATATGCTGGTCTTTTGCCTCAGCCAGCAACAAATCCTTAAATATCTTTGCCCCAAATCTCAAGCATTTGAACTGGCTTGGGAACATGGTGAAACACCCAAATCTGGGAAAATTTGAATGCTTGGCTGAAGCTATACTTGCCTTGAATTCTCAAGGGGATGACAAGGACAATGTATTTGAGGTTCTTGACAGTTTTTGCAGGGTTAAAGTTCTTGTTCTGAATGAAGTGACCATTAAGGTAAAGTGAACCAGTCATTCGGACTTCTTTTCTTTTACTTCTTTGTGGTATGTCAATGATAGGATTAGTTTATATTTCTTACTATCTCACGTTGTTTTTAGTTTTACAAATCCGTGTTATAGGTTTTTCTGAAAAGAAAAGGGATTAAACTGAGAAACGTGATCTATAACATTGCAGGGCCATTTCAGGGGTGGATCCAGGCCAGCTCCATTATATGATACCTTTTGTTTGGGTATAAGTATCGAAACCTTCGTTGATGAGTTGATCCCAGCAATTGTCTTCCTTTTGAGGGGAATGCCTAATCTGTTCAATTTAGTATTAATGAAGTACAATCCACCTCTTGAGGCTCCTGAATCTAATGTAAGTTTAACCCCGCTCCCCCGCTCTTTGTTGGCATGATATTCATGATTTCAACTTGATATTTTCTGGGTATTGTCATTTGATTTGCATCTTGTCGTCTTTCCTTTCCAGACATCTGGGATTGATATCAAATACTGGAAGTTGCAAAACCTTGCATTTGTTTATCAGCTTAGGCAGGTTACCATAGAGCTTGGCAATGGGTCTAATGGAATGGAGTTCGCGAAGTATTTGCTCGAGTGTGCGCCAAATTTGGAGAAAATGGTCATTGTTTATTTACCCCAGGATTTGGAGAAAGTTGCAAAGAAGTTGGAGAAAAGCAAGATTTTCAATGCCGCCGCAGCTGTCTGCTTTCAAGAAAAATCAATCAAGAGATAGAAGAATGTACTTCCGATCGTTTTCAGGATTTCTTTATGTTGCAATGTTGAAACCTTTGTATGCTGAGATTATCAGAAGCATCGTTTCAGGATTTTGTTGGTTTTCTCAAGTATTTTTGTTGTCTTCTTTCTTAAGCATTATTGAACTCGTCAAGTTGAACCTAAAATCCCAATTTGAAGTCGAGAGAAATACCATTACATCGTAATGCTAGTGGCAAACTATGAAATTGGTTAGAAGTAAAATCATGAAAGTGATCTACTCTAAACTTTAGTTAGAACAAAGGCTAGTTGATCTATTAACTTCAAAAGACAAGATTACGAAGACATCATCCTTCGAGATTTTACATACAGTACGAAGAACACAACAGCGCATATACACATTCTGATACCCAGATCGTTTTCACTATTCTCCTTAATATTCCTCGAAGAGAATTGTGGCATTAGATATTTTCGTATTTCCGTCTAACATCCTTACAATGTCCTCCGAACTCTGGGTTGAGAGACTTATGACCATCTTCTCCGAATTCTTAGCGCACTGGCGCATACACCATGCTAGCTCAACTCCTCCGTACCGGAAAGCAATACTTGGCAGTCGTTTGAAAAGAGAGACCAGTGCTGGGACTAACTCAATCAACAAATCTTTCAATATGTATATGCAGAGACGAAGCGTCATCTAATGCTGCTGCCATGGATCCCTTTTGAAGAGCTTGTCGATAACAGAACTGCAATAAATCATGTTTCTCATTTTCCTTTTACTCGTTTCAGAAAAACTTGGCATAAACCTCAAGCCTTAAACAATAGTGATACAGACCTATGCCAAAGAGAGATGGAAATTTACTCTAATGGACTGTTCCTTGACAAACAGCAGTTTCGCCTTACGTAAACTGTAAAAAAGCTCAAACACCTGGTCAAGAACATCTACTTTCGGATTCAGAAAGACTGCAGCTTCTTCTAACAGTTCCAAATTACTCAGACTTGGGTGATTCATCAAACTCCCCTTCCAAGCCAAGAATCTAAGACTCGGAGCAGAAATATTTAAAGATTTTTCTTTCAAGATTTCTAGTTCTTCAGCAGATTTGTATATTTTCAAGTTTCTGACCAGAGATGTTAAGTATGCGAAGAGAATCGTCACCATCAATATACAATGTTTTAAAAGACGAGCTTTCAATGGTGATAGTTTCCACAATAAGATCTTTAAGCACTAATTTCTCAATGCATTTACAGCAACATGACATCCATTTGAAAAATCCCTCTTCTATTCTTTCCTCGCGCAACTCCAAGAATTTGAGATTAGAGGAAAATTCAAAGGAGGGAACATGAAGAGCCATACAGTTGAGATCCGCAGATAGAGACTTTAAAGATCCGGAAAGAAAGACAGAAAACGGAAACTCGATACGTTCACGTGGTATGTGATTGTGAATATCAAGTTCTTCAACATTACAGCCCACTGCATTGCGGATCCTTGACAACATCCGAACGGACACAAGCGCAAATCCGACGATACTAAGCCTCAAAGAAGAAGGGCATACATTCGAACCACCGAACTCGAAAGCATTTTATTTTATTATCACCGCGACGAAATAAGAACCGATCCAAACAATCGACCAACGTTTGCTGCTCACTAGAACCCTTCGGTATGGAAAATCCATCAAAATTCAGAGATGGTGATGACAGACACAGTTCTTGGCATCGTTTCGAGAAGCATTCGAAACTGGCCAGGTTTGTGATAGTAAGGAAGGGATGTGATGGGCAACATGGTCTGGGAGATCACTGATTCTGTCTACCATTGTTCTGCTCTCAGGAGGATTAGCATCAACTGCTTCCATGAATCAAACCAATTCTGTCTACCATTGAATTACTTTTCCGTCAGTGCCAATTAATATTACGATCTAGTGATTTATTTATGGACAGTTTTGATATAGGTGTTTACACCAATGCACCTCAAATACAATGCACAGCAGGAAACCATGTCTAGTTCGATTTGCTGCTGCAATTGAAAATTAGCCGGTGCTGTTTTCTGCTGTCTCCCATGAATCAAAGAAGGCAAGAAAACAACAGGAATAGAAAGAAAACGGAAACTTGGTACGTCCGTGTTTGATGTCGAGATCAAGCTCTTCAACATTACACCTTAATGCACTATGGACGCATGACATAAACCGAAAATAATCTTCGTAGGAGCATTCCTTATCGCCATTGCTACCGCTGTCAGAACCATCTGCACCAAGACTCATCAAACGATCACGAAAGACCTGTGAAGCATCCTTGCCGCAGAAGCATTCCTTATCGTCATCGGTTTTTTTTATTGCGCATCATTTTTAACGATGTTCGTACTGCTAGTCGTATAACATGCCCACAAGGCAATTTTTGGTAGTAGACAATCGAAAACGTGAAGTTAATTTAGTAGAGCTCCACTAATACTGTTTAATTTTTTGGGTTTGGGGATGCCGGTGAATGAGAAATTAGGACAGTGGAGAAATAGGAAACAGAGATGTGAATGGCGCTACGAATGCAGTCATGTTTAGTCAACCAACACAGTAATGCTCAAGGACAGCAAGAAAACTTACTTCAAAACGAAATGCTTACTGAAACTGATTCCATTGATCCGATGGTAGATACACAACAAACAAAAGAATTATGGCACACGCAAACATTGCTAGTTAAATTCTCAAAACTTAGTTCGATGTGCCACAACCGATCTGTCAACATTCACAATAAGGTAGTGATATTATAGCATAAATAAGTTCCCTAAAGTACCAAGACAGATTTCCTACTTTCCTTGAAGAAAATCTTGGCATTGGAAATTTTCTTGGTTTCATCTAACTTCGTCACAAGCTCGTCCAAATGTTGGGGTGAATGAATTATGAGCATTGTCTCCAAATTCTGGGCATACTCGAGTATATACCTGATTAGCTCAACTCCATTAGTCCCATGAGAAAGCTCAATGGAAACCTCCTTAAGCTGATGAATAAAACCAAAGTTTTGCATCTTCCAATATCCCATATTAAACCCACATGCCTGCAAGAGAAAAAAGAGAACGGAATCAATAGGGGATCACCCAACGAGTCTAAACCAAATATAATGAAAGGACAACTGCATTATCTTAAAGCCGTTATGAATATGAACCTGAGGATACATATTATACACGGAAAGAGAGAAGGAAGCAAGTAGCAACAGACTTTTTAACTTACATCATATTCATCGCCATAAAGAGGCCGCTTAGAATTTATGTATAAAGTACACAGATTGGGCATTCCCTTGAAAAGAGAGACTACTGCTGGGACCAACTCATCACCAAAGCTTTTAATATGTATATGGAGAGATGAAACGTTATCAAATGATGCTGGAATGGATCCTTCCCGATATGAAGCCTGCAATAAATAATGTTTCACAATTTCTTTGACTCATTTCAACAAGACTAATAAAAACCAATATCCGTCTTCCAGCTTTAAAGTCTACTGATACATGAGAACAATATATATTTAGCTTACCCTATCACCCCATACAAGAAATAAATAGAAGATTAAAGTTCAAATTGCCAACACAAAAATATATCAGTTTGATCTGAAGGGTTCTGGTTCACAGTACCTTAATTGTCGCTTCGTTTATGCTAAGAACTTTAACCCGGCATAAACTGGAAAGAACTTCCAGTACATCGCTAGAGCCATCTACTTCAGGCTTCAGAAGAATAGCAGCTTCTTCTAAGAATTCTAATTTTCCTATATTTCGGCTTTCCATCAAATTCCCCTTCCAACTCAAATATTTAAGACATGGGGCATTAATATTTAACGATTTTTCTCTAGGAGAGTGAAGCAGCCAGTCGATAGCTATTTCTTCAAGTTTATCGCCTCTGATGTCAACTGTGTCAGTTAAATTGTCCCCCACAAAAGAAAATTTTTTCAAAGACGAGCTTTCAATGGTGGTATCTCGCATATGAATTCCATCAAGAGTCAACTCCTCAATGCATTTGCACCAACATGAGATCCATTTGGAAAACCCCTGTTCTACCATGCCGCTTTTCAACTTCAAGTATTTGAGATTAGAGGGAAACGCAAAAGAGGGCACGTGAAGCACTACACTTCCCAGGTCCACCGACAGAGACGTCAAAGATCCACAAAGAAAGACAGAAGACGGAAACACCGGAGCTATCGCCTCTCCAGGACCAATATCAAGATCAAGCTCTTCAACGTTACACCGCACTGCATTGTGTATCCACGACATCATTCGAAAATACTCATCACAGGAGCACAGTGTTTCATCATCATCCTCATCATCGCCATCGACATGACCATCACTATCACTATCACTAACGTCTACAAAGTGACTCATCCAACAAACACGAAGACGCTGTATCTTATTATTACCACGAAGAAAGAAGAACCTATCCATACAATTCAACCACCTTTGCAGCTTACTACACTTGGCATCAGACAAACGAGGAAGTTCATCAATGTTCAAAAATGGAGCTGACAGATAGAGTTCCCTGCATCGTCTGGACACGCAGCCGAAACGGGCAAGGTGCGAGATAGTCAGGAAAGAAAGTATGTGGTGGGCAACATGGTCAGGAAGATTACTAAATCTGTCCATCATCCTCCTCTTACCATCAACTCCCTCACCCTCACAACTTCCAGTATCCATTAACTTGCGCCAGTAATTACTCAGAAATAAATTATCTGGAAAACCCCTCTTTCAATTCACTCACAGAAAAATTGAATTATCCAGAAACCAGAACAACAATTTGATTCATTTCTTAACGAACAAAAGAAAAGATGCGTTCTTTTGGTAGGAAACTAGAACATACCCAGATTCTGCTTACTAGGAAGAGTAGGAGGATGTGCAAGCCCAACTGGGTCGATGCAGATTCTGGAAATGTGATTGATTTGGAAGTTCCCCTCTCGAAAACCTAAACCTAATTTGCGCATTTGGGGGCGTCCTGCTCTGTGTGATTCCTGCAGGGGTTTTCTAATTTCTATGGCATCGGTTAAATTAAGGGGAAATTTGGTTTTTACCCATCAAAATATGGGTACGGGTTCTAACATGGTTTATGGTGTGTGGACATATGCTAGTAATAATAATGAGAAAGGACGTATATTGGAAGTATGAGACGGTGGGGTGCGTAGGGATTTATCAAGTTGTCAAGTAGACTATATTTGACAGAATTTTGAATAAGATAAGAAAATAGACAACGTGCAATAAATGAGCTAAAAATGTTAAAGCCTTTTTTAAAAGAAATTTCAGGGAAAAATCAAAATCAAACACATTCTTGAGGGGAATTTGAATTTCGGTCAGTTTACTCTTTACAATGTTTAGAGGAAGAATAAAAACTTTTATTTTGTTGTTGTTTTTTTTTTTTAATTATGTGAAACTAAAGAATTATGTTGAGTTTATATATATATTTCCTCCAAAACAAAATATTTATAAAAAAAAAAAAAAATTCCAGGTAAGTGGTATTTTCCCATAGTGATGAAAAAGTATTGAGTTTTTGGATGACGATGTGAGTTCGAACCCAATTGGTGACTAATCTAACATAATCTATCGTTCGACCAAAAAAAAATCCGGAATTTTTTTAATTACTTTAGATCATTCCATTATAGTATTACATTAGAGAGGTTTTACTATAGTATACCGATCAAAGATTCTACATTGGACAAACTTTCAAGATCCATTTAGGCCGGTCTTTCAAAGCCCAAGGCGTTACTTGATTCCCAAGTTTTCACAATCCAAACAACAATTCACACAACACATTGGGCACACAGTTTTGACCTTAAAAATCTCAGAGATTCAACCTCACAGACCTGCTTTCTTTAGAGGCAAAACACTGAAGTTCATAGAGAAGGAGATCTTGAAATTAAAGTTGCATAAGAACTTAATACTAATAAAAGAGATGAGCATCGTCCATATCCTTGAACAAAACACATATGATCGATCATCCAGTTCCGAACTTTCCCATCCTCCATATCCTTAAACACAACTTACAGGATCAACCGCCCAGTTCTGTCCTAATAACACATATAGGAAGAAAACAAACCCTACTAGATTTAACATTGATTTGCAATGCCGAAAAGGAACCATTGAAACCCCAAAATGTGGATGTAGAGTTGGGTGATTAGAACCCAGTACGACCCCGACTTTTTTCCAGATAGCCAACTGCAGCATTGGAAGAAATAATCCGGCTGCTCCTCAACTTCCTTGCGAAATTCCATTGATTGGGCAGGCAAATCACAAGCATTTCTTCCAAATTTTGAGCACGTTCAAGCAGATACTTTGCAAGCACGAATCCATTAGACCCGTTAGTAAGCTCTATGGTTACATACTTCAACTGAGAAACAAACTCCAGGTGCTGGCGTTCCCAATATCGCCTATCGAATCCAGATGACTAGAAAATTAACAAACAAACAAGCAATTCAATTATAGTTCCCAAGTAAGAAATGCAACTAAGATTGTCAATGGTAAAATGTACTCTGCATGTTGGAGAGAACGTAGATTTTCACTTACAGTAGCCGCATTTGCACTGCAAAAGAAGAAGGGTAGCTGATCAGATGATACTGTCAATTCCAAAGTAGTCAAATTACTGAGTCCTTTAAAAAGTGAGGCCAGCGCCGGGACAACCTTGTCATCGATACCACTCCAAATAGTCACATGCAAGCAACAGAGTTCATGTAATATTGGGGGTGTGTTGCCATCCTTGAACAGATTCTACAACAAAATTACAGCCAAAGGATTTTATCAAATCAAATCAAATAGAAAAGACAATAAAACCCTAAACACTACAAAAAGACTTAGACCAGTAAACCGATTTTATCCTCTCAATTTCGTACTCTTTACCTTTGCAGTCCCTTGATCAATACGGAGTGTTTTAGCACTGCGAATGCTAGAGAGGAACTCATGTGTTTTGCTTTCAGGGTCATCTACTCCATCAGCCATGAGAGAAATCTGAACTTCTTCCAAACAATTCAACTCCCCCAGATTCTGGTGATTCATCATATAACCCACCCAATTCAAACGCTTAAGATTTGGAGCGAAAATCTCCAACGAATTCGTCCGAGGCAATGGAGCATTAAATTTCCAATTTATACGCAAATCTTCAACTTTCTCACCAGAGATTTTAACATGGCAAAGATCACAACAAGAGGGAAACTCAACACCAAATGATTCCAAAGACGAACTCTCAATGTCGATTTTTCGCAACCCTATCACAAACTCGAGCGTCAACTCCTTAATATTTCTGCAGCAGAAGCAGATCCATTTGCAAAAACCCTCATCATCTTCCATGGTAACACTTCTCAGCGTCAGAAAAACCAGATTACAGATAGAAGATGCAGAAAATGTGGAAGCTTTAAGAGTTGCACGCTTCATAAGTAGAGAGAGAGACCTCAGAGACCCAGAAACAAACACAGATGAAGGAAAATCTATCTGGGTCTCGCTAATAATATCTTTTACGGTTGGCATCACAGTAAGAAAGAAAAAATCAAGCTTTTCAACGTTGCAAGTCAGTGCATTTTCAATCCAACCCAAAACCCTAGATTTTTCAACAGAGCAGCACTTTTCAATATCTGTTTCCCCAAGTTCGTACTTAGAAACCCAATCCAGAGAAAAGCTTTGTACCTTGTTATGGTGGCGATGTATGAAGAACTTGTCCAAGGAAGCCATCAACTCCAAACGGCTGTTGAAGGCGCGAGTGGACTCCGAGGGGAATTCAGTGAAGTTCAATGTGGGAGTTGACAGATAAAATGCTCTGCATTCTTGGGATAACATGCCAACTCGAGTGATGTCGGATATGGGAAGAAATGACAAAACGTGATGAGCAACTTCACGTGGAAGAGCACTGAATCTGTCCAAAGTGACATTTAGATTGGCAGAAGCACCTTCAGCAAGGGGTTCCATGGAAGTTTGATCGACAGGGAAGAGGAAGAGAAACGGTTTGTATCAAAGGCAACTAGTGTCAAATGAGAGGACTGCATTTATAGCGTGGGTTAATTTCATAAAAACCATTTTTAGTAAAAATCTATAAATTTGAGACGTGAAAAAATTAAAAATAAAATTTACATCTTTCTAATATGTAAATTCGAGTTAATTATTAGAATCAAATCAATGCTTCATTTTTAGACTTTTGATTAAATCCTACAATCCAATTATATTCTAAATATAAGTGTTTTTCAAATTCATTTTTATGTCAAAAATGCAATCAATAATATTAATTAATTTATTGCTATATTTTATGAAATTTCTTCCCTTCTCAATTTAAGGATATAATTATATCTAGTGAGTTTGAAATTAATTTGACGCAATATAATAATCCATATATATCTAAACTATTTAAGAAATGCCAATATATATTGATAGGTTTTGAGTTACATGTAATTTGTTGTTAATTTTTTACATACCAAAATTATGATAGTATAAACGTACCAGTAACGTAGTATGTATCTAAACAAAAAATAAAGTGTAGCAAATTATTGATACGCTATTTTTAATATATATGGCCATGCATATCTCATGTAAGTAATATTATTTGTAGTACGTTGGTACATTTAAAATATTACTATTTGATTATCTTTAAAAAAAAAAAAGAATTAGTCTTTTTTGCACCCACAATTCAAATTTTTTTTTGTTATTATTGATTTTTTTTAATTTCTTTTGAAATATTTATTGAATTAGTGGGACATAAATTAACAATATATTCTTTTGCAAGATTTTAGGAATTTGTTATATATTGGATTTAATGAGTAAATTAATTATAATAATAAAGTGTGAGATTTGAAATTAATTAGTAAATTAAATAAAATTGTAGAAAAGTAGTTTGATTAAATCTCTAAGGGGGCGTTTGTCTGCCCTCACTAAGTATCACTGGACTAGACCGGACTAACTATTAGTCCAGTCCCGTGTTTGTTTTGTAGTGGGATTATGTTTAATGAGACGAAAGGGGACTCACACGGACAAACTCCTTCGCTAGGAGTTCTTAGCGAGACCCCCAGTACCCATGGGATTGCTAAGACCTCGTCTACTCCGTCTTTGTATGCTACATCTCATCCTCTCTTTGCTCTCTGTTATCTGGAGCAACGACAACCACCATCACACCACAACTCGCCAACTCCAATGAGATCACACCACCAGCACACCACCACTCTCTCCCTTTTTCTTCACCCCGAACCAAAAATTTCGAACTAAGGAAGATCCTGCTCTTACCGTCGTTTGTCCAACTCTAGCCGTTTGCTTCGCTTCGTTGCACTTCGAACTCAACCTTGGACTTGTTTGATTCGCTTCGAACTTGACCTCGGACTTGTCGACTTCACGCGATTGACGAGATCTTGTGAACCCAATGGTGGGTGAGCCACCCAGTGTGCTTGAAGGAATATGGGAGGCCAAGAACGCCGGAGCCTACGACGGCGATAAAGACGTTGGCTGGATTGGGACGACAGCGAAGTATTTTGCGTCAAGGACAGCAGCTTGGGATTCTTGTTTTCATTTGGTTTTGATTTAAATTGGGTTTTGATTTCGAACTGGGTTTGATGTGATTTGGAATTGGCATTTGATTTGCTCTGTAATTGTTTGAATGATCTGCATATGTGGAATGAATTTTGGGGAGAGAGGAAGAGAGCTTAGAAAAAGAAAAAGAGACTAAATAATAAAATATTAATATATATTAGATTAAATAATATAATATTAGAATTTGTTATTATTCTGCTTCTTAGTCTTGCACTGCACCAAACGCTTCACTAAGCCAATCCAGCTTAATCCCTGAAGCTAGTCCAGTTCGAGACAGTCCGGTGCAACAAACGCACTCTAAAAGCCTTAGAGCACTTCCACGGGGGGGTGGGATAGGCCAACACACAACCAAAAAAATGGCCCATCACCTAGGGAAGTCTCTCCAACTGAGTAGATTGCCTAGAACCCAGCCCAAGCTGGTCTCCAGGCTAGCCCAAAATTGACAGACCTTGGGACCGGCCCATTTGACGCCATGCTGAAGCCAACGTGGCGTTGGAGGGCAAAGAGCCACGGAAGGAGAAGAAGGGAGAGGAGCTTGTCGCTGCATCGATCTTTCGTACAGTGGGAAGCTCTTGATGCAGAGCAACTTGGAC